GCGCGCCATGGCGAGGGCACGGACGGGGTGTTGCCCGCCACGATTCCTGCTTCGTCCGTCCTCCTGTCATGCCGCTGGCTACTTGCGGGGAAAGAAGCATGCGGACGGCGCCACGCAACGAACCCCACGTCGACAACCCGCAAGACGGGATAGGCAGGCAGGCAGGCAGGCAGGCAGGCAGGCAGGCAGGCAGGCAGTCAGGCCTATATTCGGCTTGCTTGCGCCCCAGCCATGAACCGGTGCGGCGCGGACAAGGTCGAGCGAGGTGGCCGACCCTGACCCCGTCCTCGCACAACCTTCTCCTCTGCCAAGGAACCTGGACATCTTCCGTCGGGCTTCTCCTTCCATATCGTTTCCACCGGCATCTTGCTGGCCAGTCATGGCCTCTCACACCGCCGTGCGCGATAACCGCCAAACCCGTGCCGTTGCACGCCATTCCGTCGTCGTCGAGTTGCCTACGCACGTACGTACGGACACACGAGCTGGCTTCCCCGCTTGGCAGATCACCGATTGGTCACCTGACCAAGATATCCTGCCACGGCCTGGATACCCCCACCTTCCGACTTCAACTGCGGCGGCGCTGAGCTGGGCGGTACTGGCCATGATGGCGCCGACTTGGCGCGGGCTCGGCCGAAGGGCGGGTACCTGTAGGAAGACCGATCGGGTCTCTCCGCGTCCCTCTGCCTTGTTTCCCGACCGACAAAGATTCCATTGTGCGGCCGGCTGAAACTGTCGGGACTCGCGAGAGCAGGCGATGGCGAATGCTCAGGCATACATCACGTCCCCAAGGTTGCTGGACGAGGAGTCACACAACGCTCCCAGACCGGACCGCGCTCGACCGCCATGTCCGTGTCAAGCCAGACCCTACCTAACGACATGCTTCGCATCGAGATTATGCCATACACGAGTCGGCCCGATCGAGTCAGCGGCAGGGGGCGAGGGGGCGCCGAACCCAAAGGCAAAGCCAGTCTTGGGCGTCGATCGGAATGCGGGGCTCCAGCCTCTCGCTCACATCGGCTTTCCAGGACCCCGAGTTGCAGGTGCAAGCCAAGATGCCAGGATGCCGGGACCTCTCCGCCCGACCCGGCCTGGCCTGGCCTGGCCGGGCAGTGCGACGCGGATCACGACATGCCTGCGCGCTATCGCCAAACGGACCGCCTAGATGGTTCTTGGCGTGCGTGCGAGCGTACGGGCAACGTAACGAGGGGCCAAGGTACAGGCAGGTGCCTATCTACCTACCATCCACCGATACCGATACTACTGTAGCCTGCTGGGTCTTGCTGTCGCTTCGCCCCCTCGGACGCGCCGAGTGCGGGGCTATCCGGCGTGAAAGAGTTGACAAAAAGAGCAAGCCAAGGACCCGAGGCAGCCGGCGCGGTGGGATAGGGATCCTTTCCACGACGCACCCCGCGCTATGCTCCACCCCGCCCCCCCGGGCCCGCCGGCGTGTGATAGGGCAAAACCCTCTCGGTCACACTCGGAATGGATCGGGAGAGGGGTTGAGAAAAAGCCTAGCGCCTGCTGAATGAGCGGCGACCAAGACGACGACGCACGTACAGTATATATGTACATGTACAGCACAGTGGTACTGTGCTCGACGTGACGACACGTCGATCCTGACGCGAGCCAGCGAGCGATACGATAGCCTCGATCGGTGGCCCCAAAACTCATGAAAGGCTCTGGGTTGCAGCGCAAGCTTCCGAGGATCGCAGAGCCAGAATGCGGAGGGATGTCAACACCCGCCGTAGCGTAGCGGCCTCTCGGCAGCGTCCGTCGCAAGACGTAACGACGAGCCGACTTGTTCCGGCTGACGTTGCGGCAGGTCGCTGTGTGAGCGATGGTCATCACCACTCGCTCATGGCCAAGCGCCGCCTGCCACTCAGCTCAGCTCAAACCAGAGCTCTGTGTTTCAGCCGCCTGTCGACGGGCTCCATAGGTATCCGTGGCGCCGGGATCGACCGGCAAGCCAGGGGGTCCGCCCGGCCTCTTCACCCGCCTGCCCCTCTTCGGAGATTAGGCTCTTCAGCGCCAGCACGTTCTCTCCCAAGCCGCTGCGACTGCGACGACGACGACGAGACGCCACCTCATTTGACGACATTTCCGTCCCATCCAGGCAGAGAGAGAGGCACGTCACGACGGCTTGTGCCGATGCGTCATGTCAGCCTGCCTTGCCTGCCTGCCTGCCTGTTGTTTGCTCTCTCGACATCTATCGATATCGATGTCGATGTCGACGCTGATAAGCTTAGGCACGCTGGCGCTGAGCCAAGCTGCCGGAAAGCGACGCGAGAGTCCTTAGCTTCCCCCCTCGCCCTCGCCCTCGCCCCGCTCCTGCCTGCACGCCCAACCCAACGACTCGAGCCGAGAGAGGTCCCGGTCCCCCCGCTTTGGCGCCTGCGCTGGCCTGCGCCTGCCCCGCCTGCCCCGCCCCGCCCTGCCCATGGCCCACGCACGCTCGCACGCACGCACGCACGCACCGAGGCGAGTCGTGGCCGCATGAGTTGGTCGATCAGGGCAGGGCAGCCAGGCAGGGCACAAAGAGACCCTGGCCTGCCTGCTGGCGTGCTTAGCTTGTGGAGAGCTTGCACCTCGCCTGATCTCGTCCTTCCTCCCACCCACCTTATCGGCTCATCCTCCAGCCTCGGCCCCAATCTTCACCTCCATCTGGCTCGTCGTCGTACGTCCAGCGGAGCATCTTTCACCATCGATGGACCAGCCTTTCAAGGTAATCGATCAGAGCCGGCGAGACCGTCGAGAGCGGTGCCGTGTCTGTTGGCGCCGCGCACCGGGGGCCGTACGTGGGCGTATCGATTTCCGGCACGGCAACTTCGCCGAAAATCGAGGCCAGGCCAGGCCAGGCCAAACCGGGATCGACCCGCGGCTCATCGGCCCAACGGACCGATGCCAACCCGCGTGCGTCGCGGCCTCTCCCGAGCGGGGCACCAGCCCCCGTCTGCCCTGCCCTGCCCTGCCAAGCCAAGCGCGGCCTTGCTTGGCTTCCTCGCCCTTCTCCGCTGCTCGCGGCACAGCCTAGCCGGCAACCTCTACCTACTCTGCGACAGGAGACGAGCCGGTGCCATGTCTTTTGCTCGGCGTTACGTTTGGCTCGTCGAGGCCGAGGCGGCGCTGGGAAGAACAAAACCGCCAGGTCACCCCCCCTCCTCCCGGGCGCCACCTCCTGTTGCCGGCGACAACAGATCGAGAAGGCGCCTACGTACATACGCAGCCAGGCCGGGTGCGCTGGGTAAACTTGGGCTGGTGCCGAGCGAAGTTTCGATTTTCTGCCCGCCCAAACCCCTGACTGGCGGATGCTGCCTGCTTGGCTTTGCCGGATGTGCGCCTCGGCGAAGTCTGTTTGGGTGGCGTCGACGTCGTGGGCGAGGCAGGGCGAGGCAAACCAGCCCAGGCTAGGCCGGCACCACCTCGCTGGGTCGCTGCCTCAAACATCTCCGCGCTGGGCATGGCGGCGGAGGATGGACGGTGGCGGCCATGCCCAGCCTTGCTTGGCGCCGATCTTCGCTCGAAAATACCCGATGGCCTGTTGATTAAGGTCGCCGCATCCTCCGCACCGCCACCCTGTCCCGCTCAGTCGATACGTCGGGCAACCTAAGTAGCCCTACTTTGCCGCTGCCACAGAAGCAACCCGACCTGCCACTCAGCCAGTAGCAGATACGTACAGGAGGCGGCTCTGCTTGCGACGGCGGGTAGATGGGGGGCTGCCCGAGAGTTCCAGGCCGCCGCTGGTCGCCCGATGCGCCGTCGACGACGAAGCCCGCTGCACCTCTGAGAGCGGTCCGGTGCGGCCTGGCCAGGCTATGTAGCAGGCTAGGCTGTTGTGTCACGACGGCGGCAGGCTCTCCAGCGTCTCGACCCCACAAAACCGGTAGCGCGCTCTTTGTCGACGGCAGCGCCGCAGGAAGGGCGCTCTTAGCTATAGCGGCCTGCCTAGCCTGTAGGAAGGCGACAGGACGGTGCATGCTGCGCATGCTGCCGAGGTGCAGTGACCCTGCCGGCAACGTACTTGAACGTGCGTGCGTGCGGTCTTCTCTGGACGAATCCCGAACGAGCGCTGCCCTGCCTTGGCCTCAGCTTCTTGGCTGCGCCGTCCCTGGGCTTGCTTGTTTGCCCGCCCAAGGGCCAACTCTCTTGTCGCTGCCCCCGTTTCCGCTTCCGGCGAGATCCGTAGGATGGCGATGGCTCCTTGGGCTGCTTCATCAGGGGCCCAGTCATCGAGTCAGTGTCACTGGCGGATCATACACGTTTTGCACAGCGAGTTTTCATCTAGAAGTGACGACGGAGGGGAGGCTGGAGGCATCCCAAACACCCCCAGAAACCGGGGGTGAATTTCGTGCGACGGCGAGGTCCGCTTTGGTGGGCTCGTCACCGACGACGACGAAGGCGACAACGACGACGACGACGACTCCAAACTCGGACTCGGACTCGGACTCGGGCGACGACGACGTCGAGGGACAATGGCCGACGTCCGGCGCTGGCTCGGTCCAGGCGGCCCGCTTGGCCCAGCGTGCGATTTGGCCGGCCGTGGAAGGTCTGACACCGCCCCCTCGTCATTCACAGGGCGCGCGCTTGCTCGTCCCGCAGAGCTTCTCGCCTTGGCGCCTTTGTTGTGGAGCCTTAGTCGAGGTCTCGACGTCGAAATGGAGCCTGTGCTCAAGGCTGATGATGTTTCGAGGGTGCGAGGCAACAAAGAGAGGGACCAGGAATGAGCTCGAGCTTCCTTCGTCACCGACCCCGGCTCATCCCTGGCCTGGCGTTCGACGGAGCGCGGGGGGACCAGGCTAGGGCAGAGCAAAAAAAAAAAAAGTTCCGAGCCGAAGCGGGCCCCGGTCTGGGGTCCTGACGTCGCATTGCGCCCGGCCGTGGCCTGACGTCTGGGCCAGCCCGACGCGGTACGAGGAAGGGCCGGGGCGTCGGGCTTGCGTACGAAACTTCCAAGAGGGGCCGCTGTCAGCCAGCCAGTCCGGCTTCCTCCCTTCCACTCCTCCCCCACCCGACTCGATCTTGCCTGCTGGGCCCCCTGCCTGCGCCCTTCCTGCGAGCACGCCACGCCGCGCCTGCCCCGCGCCCAGTGGCCTGGC